TACAGGCAGTCCCCGAGTTACGCGGATCCGACTTATGTCGGATCCACAGTTACGAACGGGGTTTGCTCCGCGTCTCCCTGGTCTACTGGAGACCAGCAGACCAGGGAGATGGGGAGCAAAGCCTCTGAGGACGCCAGCAGCGGGACAGCCCAGGGAGACAGACCAGGGAGACAGACCAGGGAGACACGAAGAAAGCCCGTGTCCTCTGGGGCGAGCCCCGTTCGTAACTGCGGATCCAACGTAAGTCGGATCCGCGTAAGTCGGGAACTGCCTGTATTTTAGATTCTAAAGGATTGGCTCAGCGTAGTCTTGTGGGTAAGATCCAGAGTGTAAATTGACCTGGGATCTGTGGCTGGGTTTTTTGAAGATTGGGTTCTAATAACCCCTCACCTGTGTGTTAGGCCCAGGGCTGATTGGGGCACAGGCAGAGCTGGAGTGTCTGAGGGGTTTTGCTTGTGAGGTTTCTGGCTGGCCAGATTGGCAGCTGAAGTGTGACTGGTTTGTGACCCCTTTGGGAAGGGCCTCCAGTCAGGGGCTGTAAGGAGCCTTGAGTCTGAGCAATTTGCCCTGAGTGGACGCCCTCAGCTGTGCCCAGATCCAGCCCGGTCCATCACAGACCCCAGTGATGCTCTCCCCTGGGCCTCCCCTCAAGGGGTCTGTGCATTGCCCCTCTTTGCCTTTCATCCCATATCCCAACCTTCCCCTGCCCTACTATCCCCCTTCCCCTCCCCTGCACATAAAATAAACCACACTTTTTGTTTTGGAACAATAAACGCTGGTTTTTTATTTGGGTAAATGTAACTTGGGAGGGACTAGGGGAAAAAAGGCTCAGGGGTGGGGCTGGGAGTGGTGCCTGCCTTGGGAGGTCCCACCACCTCGGGTGCAGGGGCCTCGGCAGCCACGGGGGGAGGGCTAGGGAGTAAATGAGGAGGAGCAGAAGCTGGTGCGAAAGTTGGGATGGGAAATGGGTTGAGGGCTGAGGCAGAAGAAGTAGCAGGAGCAGCAGCAGGAGCAGACGCCAGGCAGTTGAGGTCAGTGGTGAAAGCCGTGCGGATGGTCTGGCAGCTCCTGCCTGGTGTTTCAGCACAGCTCCAGGTCCGCCTCCACTCTGTAGTCCTGCTGGTTCAGGGAGTGCTGCAGGGCACGCAAGCAGGCGATGTACTCCTGCTGCACATCATCCTGGGCTTGCCTGCACCTGTGGGTTGGGAAGATGGCACGGAAGATGTTCAGTGCTCCCCTCTCACAACTGATCCAGCTGTGTAAAACAAAGAGATTGGCAGTCATCCCTGGAGACACTGCGTCTGAAGCCAGCCCTCATCTCTGAGATGAGACCAATATGTCTCGGGTCAGATGAAGGCAAAGAGCTTCACGCAAGGCCATCTGTGGCCTAGACAGTGGGCCCTTTCCTGCAGGGACACAGATGTAGTGAGGGGGAAGCTTCACTACCCCCATGTCCCGGGGGACAAGCAGGCATGGGCGAGAAGGGAGCCACAGGGTGGCTGGGCTTCCCTTCATGCTACACACATTCCAGGTCTTGTGGTGGCAGCATTCCACAGGCAGAGGACTTCTATCCCTGCCTGCTGGAGGAGAGGCGAGGAGGGGTGTGTTAGCAGCATATGCCACTTGCTAGGAAGGGTGTTGCTGGGGTCCCCTCCACTTCCTTCCCCCAGCAGGTTCCCATGCAGGGGCTCGGTGTCCTCCACCTCGCTGCACTTGCCTGGGAGTGGATGTTACCGGGGAGTGCAGGCAGGACTGTGTGGTGTGTGAAGCACTGCTGAGTGTGTCCATGACTTCATCCTCCTTAGAGGGGGCTTGTGGTGGGAGGGTGTCCCACCACAGAGTCGGGAGTAAGGCAGGTCTTTCCAGAAACCCTGTGAGCAAGAACACAAGTTTCCTTTCTGTCAGGCTCCTGCGGCTGTGTGCTGTGGACTGGTGCTCCATGTGGACCCACATGCAGGGGCTGCTGTGCAATCAACAAGCCAAGAAGTCCGAGCTAGAAGCACTTAGCTCATCACTGCCCACTGCCTTCTCCCCTCCCCTGTGTATAGGGAAAGTAATGGAACTCACCTAATGGTCCTTCCCCGGCATCCTGATAGGGGGGTGCCAGCTCCAGGGTCAAGATGGCCTCCTGGCTGGCGAGCATCATGTCCACAGTGGCCTCATTCTCTTCCTCCTCCTGTACCTTCTCCTCCATGTCCATGGCCTCCGAGTGGCTTATAATGGGCACAGGAACGGCCTGAGGATGGCTGCGGCAGCTGGTGCCCCAAGTGGAACGCACGATCGGCGCCCCCACCTGCACGGCCCTCAATGGCATGACGTCATCATTGGGCACCCCGGGCGCCCCATTGAAGGTGGCGCCCTAGGCGACGGCCAAGTCGGCCTATACTCACGGGCCGCCCCTGAATCCAGGGCACTGTCATGATGGAGCTGCCCATAGTAGGGGCAGGTCTGGGCTGCCGCCCCTGAGTGGGAGCTGTGCTCGTGGTCTTCTTATAGGCTTGGCACAATTCTTTGACCTTCATGCGCACCTGCTCCTGTGTGCTCATGTGGCCCCTGTGGCCCAGGCTTTCACCCGTATGTCCATATATGTCCTCATTCCTGGGTCTGGTGCAGAGATCCCGCTGATTTTCCTCCTCAACCCAGATTTCAAGGAGATCCTGGGTCTCCACACCAGACAAGGATGGTACCATCCTCTTTCAGTCCCAGGCAGGGGCTTAGGAGCTGACTGAGGCAGTGCTGGCAGCCGTGGGAGGCTTGGCTGGAGAGGTGGGCGGTTGTGCAGGGTCCTACTATGTGGCACAATGCAATCAGGGCCTGCTTCATGGCATAATCCTTCTTTCCCTTCTGCCTGCAGATTTAAGGGCTGCAGGGGAAGGGGAACTACAGATTTCTGATGAATGTGGAGGAAGTGGCTAGCAGGGTAGCTGTGTGTTTCCTGAAGGCCTCTTATTTCAAAATAACTCCATCTGCCCTGTCTACATACATCCTATTTCACAATAGCGATTTCAGAATAGGCATTATTCCTTGTAAAATGCAGGATCCAGGATCCAGAATAAGATGCCCATTATTTCAATTTTATTTCAAAATAATGGGCTTACTGTGTAGATGCTTATTTTGTTATTTCAGAATAACATACGTTATGCTGAAATAATGCTGCTGGGTAGATGTGCCTTAACTGATTAATGCACTACAAAGTCAATTTCCCCTGCCTTTGACAGTCACATTTTCACATCAAAAGCTATGAATGGGACACATCCAGTCCACTTAATCAGCTTCATTAACATGGGTCCCACAATTGACAGGTTTTGCTTTTGCTGTTATATATATCTTGGATTTTGTTATTTCCACGCTAACTCACCTATGAAATGGGTTTTACCCATGGAAGCTCATGATCTTATAGATTTTTGTTAGTCTCTAAGGTGCCACAGGGTTACTCGTTTTTAAAGTTACACACTAACACAGCTACTCCTCTGAGTCTTTTTGTTTGGGAAGTACACTTAACTTTTAGCAAGGCACTTAATCACATACTTAATAGGAATGTGCTTAATACTTTCTCGTGTGCTTTCCTGAAGCAGAAATCTCATGGCGTTACGGAGTCTTGAGAACGTGAGCTAGAACTGTATTGTACCATTGCAACTGAGGAAAAAGCTTTCAGAACTGGGTCATCTGGCCAATTACCCAACTTCCTGCAAATCAAAGCTCCTCCCCAAACATTTGTTTGAACACAAATCAGCCACATGAATGTTTGTGGGAAGCTAATGAAAAAAGTTAGGAACTATACATGTCAAGAGGGGGTCAATTGGCTAATTGTGTAGTTGATAGAATTTTTATAGACTACACGATTAGTCGATAAGGGAAGGCGCTCAGTCCCAGCTCACGCCAGGGCCAGGAACTACCCTCACCGTGGCTCTGCAGTTTAAATGCAGTAGGAGCCTGGTATGCAGACAACATGGCTGCTACCACATTTAAATTGCAGAGCCACTTGCAGAGCCACAGAGTAAGTATGTGGCACTGAGCTGGACTGCCTGCTCAGCCAGAGCATCACCTGTCCACAGCAGCCCAGGCTGCTATCAGAGCAGCCTCTGTCTGTGGTGAGCTTGGGCCTACCATGGGCAAAGGCAGCTTCATGGCAGCCTCCCCTGTCCCTCTCCCCCGCTCCACTCTGAGGGTATGTCTACACTACCCCCCTAGTTTGAACTAGGGGGGTAATGTATGCATACCGAACTTGCTAATGAAGCCCGGGATTTGAATTTCCCGGGTTTCATTAGCATAAAGCCAGCGCCGCCATTTTTAAAAGCCGGCTAGTGCGAACCCCGTGCCACGCGGCTACACGCGGCACGGACTAGATAGTTCGGATTAGGCATCTAATCCGAACTATCTGTACGCCTGATTCCAGCCAGCCTTAAATGCGATTCAGTGTTCACTCAGTGTGGACGTGCTATTTCAAAATAGCAAAAAGCTATTTCGAAATGCATTTTGTGTGTAGACGCGTTATTTCCAAATAAGCTATTTCAAAATAACTATTTCAAAATAAGATATTTCGAAATAACACTATAGTGTAGACATACCCATGGATAGCCTATGTTAGTCTTATATAGCCAGACTTGTCAGTCTCCTGGGCAAGGTAAGAGGGGCGGCTCCATGTGCCTGGAAAGGCCATAGTAGAAGGAACCTTCTCCACCACCTGGACCTCACTACCAGGGGCACTGGCTCTGATTTAAAGGGCCCAGAACTGCAGCTGTCACCACAGCTGCAATAGCAGTAGCGGTAGCTGGGCGTTCTGGGCCCTTTCGAATCACTGGGACCTGAGACAGTTGCCCCTTCCTTCCCCTCCAACTGCCCCCTCAGATAACTATAATGGTCCCTTCTAGCCTTCAAATAGATCTTGTGGGAGATTTCCATTTGTTTTTTGTCTGGGACACCTGTCTGACAGGCATCTGCCATTTTCCTTGCTGATTATTGTTATGGTGGTCGGACACAGAAGCCTCAACTAGGACCACATTCTAAATCCCATACTAATATATAGTAAGTGCTAGTCCTATCTCAAAGAGTATAATTCCTCATTCATATCTGGAGATTAATCTTTTCATTTATAATCCTCTGCAGCAATGACAAATATAGTTATTTTCTTAGCTAGGAATTATATCATCATCATCTTAAATTTCAGTCCTGTTCCTTTCTGTACTTTTATTATGTCATAGCAAATACTTGTTTATTATCTTATATCTTCCTTTTTATTTCCACCAGGTATGTTACTGGTTCCTGTCACACCTGTTCCTCATGGTTCTTCCTGCATGTGGCAAGTAGCCATGGTACTGTTCATTGGGCTTGTCTATACTACGGAGAAGATCAAAGTTGCCACAGTCGATCTTCTGGGGTTTGAATGATCAGGTCTAGTGAAGATCTGCTAATTCAAACTGAGAGGTGCTCCCATCGGTGCCAGTAGTGTTGCTCCTCATGAGGAGCAAGGGAAGTCAACCTCCTGCTGTGTGGACAGCGCCAAAACACAATTTAAGATACTTTGACTCCTGCTATGTCATTAACATAGCTGGAGTTGAGTATCTTAAGTTAACTTTCCTCTTTAGTGTAGACTAGGCCTGAGTTACTGGGTCAGATTCTCAGCTCATGTAAATCAGCGTATCATGGCAGAATCATAGGTACTGGAGTTATACTTACTCTAGCAAGGACTCTGTCCTTTCATGCTGTATGCACAGCTCCTTCCAAGGGAGTTTCTTCATGAGTGCCCTGAGCTCTCTGGACAAACATCACTGTGGAAGCGCAAAAAGTTATAATTTAGTACTTAAAAATCAGCAGTGAGAGTGGCGAAAGCCCTTTAGGAAAAAAAAGCACATCTGTGCATTTTTTCTTCAGCACACGCCATACAAAGAGATACACTGTTTTCTACATCAAAACGAAACGCCAAGTTTCTATGAACCTCGGCCACAATTCTGGCTTTCCTAAAGAGCTTTTCAAACATGTCTCTAAAACATGTTCATATGGGTGGTCTACCTACCACAGGATTTCCAATGCTAGCAGGTTTGTTTATAAAAGTAAGTATAACAACAAATTGTATGTACATATACAAAGTTGATTTTTTTTATTTTGAGGGAGAAAGAAATTAACGATAATTGAATATTTCTGTTTTAAACATACTTGTTTGTTATATGGAAAATAATAATACACATAGCCCAGACAAATTACTATGAAAATGTAAATACTACCTGATTTTATTATCTTGGATTAAACAGAATGTCAATAGATTTGCACTCTGAACAAAGAGTGGGTTTTGTCCATGAAAGCTCACGATTCTATATATTTTGATAGGTCTCTAAGGGCATGTCTACACTGGGAAGTTATTTTGAAATAACTCTCTTTATTTCAAAATAACAAGGTGAGCATCCACACAGCAAGCCCACTATTTTGAAATTACAGGCTCCCACTTGTCATAAGGAATAACTCTTATTTCAAAATTGTTATTTCGAAATAGCATTAGTATGGATGCTCAGCTGCTGTTATGTCAAAATAATTGGCCTCCAGATGCCTCCCACAGCTTCCCTTGTGGCCACTCTGGCCACACCCCTGCCAAGTCCAATGCTCCCATTCTCCTGCAGACTTTAAAGCTATAGGCAGAAGGGAAAGGGCTTGTTGCACAACATGAGCCCTGCTAGTCTCGTGCCACATAACAGCCTATCTTTAAGCCACCTCCAACCCCACCACTCCTTCTGAGCTCCCAACGGATGCCAGCACTCCTGCAACCACCCCAGAAGGCCCTGGCCAGGGGCAAAAGAAGATAGCAGCCTGGACTGGTGCAGAGATCCTGGATCGCATCAAGATCTGGGGTGAGGAGACAAATCTCCAGAATCTCCACACATCTCCACACCGCAATGTGTATGTGACCCAGAGGGGGCACAGTCACACCTTGGATCAGGTGCAGATGAAAATTAAAGAACTGCAGCAGTCCTGCATGAAGGTCAGGGAGCAAAGTTCCCATTCTGGGGTGGCACCACAGACCTGCTGCTACTATGAGCAGATGGATGCCATCCTGGGAGGGGGCCCAGTGATCCCCCCTTGTCATTGGCCAGGAAACACCCAGCATCAGCCTCCACAAAGGCAGGGTTGTGGAGCAGGAGGAGTAGGAGGGGCTGGCCAGCCTGGACACCATGCCTGCAACCAGGAGGCTGTCATTAGCCGAGAGCCAGTCCACTCCCCACCCCCTAGCATGTCTCTCAGGGTTCGAATGAACCCAGAGAAGGCAGTTCACGTGAGTTCTATCACTTTCCCTATACACACACGGGGGCAGGCAATGGGCTGCAAGGTGCTGTGTGCTCCTTGCTCAGCTTTCTCAGCCTGGGAGGTCGCACAACAGTCTGTGTACATGGGGGCATATGGAGCACAAGTCTGGCACATTCAGCTCCACGATGCTTTCACAGAGGAACCCTTGATCCTTCTCACAAGGTTCCTGCGTGTAGACTAGGCCTGAGTTACTGGGTCAGATTCTCAGCTCATGTAAATCAGCGTATCATGGCAGAATCATAGGTACTGGAGTTATACTTACTCTAGCAAGGACTCTGTCCTTTCATGCTGTATGCACAGCTCCTTCCAAGGGAGTTTCTTCATGAGTGCCCTGAGCTCTCTGGACAAACATCACTGTGGAAGCGCAAAAAGTTATAATTTAGTACTTAAAAATCAGCAGTGAGAGTGGCGAAAGCCCTTTAGGAAAAAAAAGCACATCTGTGCATTTTTTCTTCAGCACACGCCATACAAAGAGATACACTGTTTTCTACATCAAAACGAAACGCCAAGTTTCTATGAACCTCGGCCACAATTCTGGCTTTCCTAAAGAGCTTTTCAAACATGTCTCTAAAACATGTTCATATGGGTGGTCTACCTACCACAGGATTTCCAATGCTAGCAGGTTTGTTTATAAAAGTAAGTATAACAACAAATTGTATGTACATATACAAAGTTGATTTTTTTTATTTTGAGGGAGAAAGAAATTAACGATAATTGAATATTTCTGTTTTAAACATACTTGTTTGTTATATGGAAAATAATAATACACATAGCCCAGACAAATTACTATGAAAATGTAAATACTACCTGATTTTATTATCTTGGATTAAACAGAATGTCAATAGATTTGCACTCTGAACAAAGAGTGGGTTTTGTCCATGAAAGCTCACGATTCTATATATTTTGATAGGTCTCTAAGGGCATGTCTACACTGGGAAGTTATTTTGAAATAACTCTCTTTATTTCAAAATAACAAGGTGAGCATCCACACAGCAAGCCCACTATTTTGAAATTACAGGCTCCCACTTGTCATAAGGAATAACTCTTATTTCAAAATTGTTATTTCGAAATAGCATTAGTATGGATGCTCAGCTGCTGTTATGTCAAAATAATTGGCCTCCAGATGCCTCCCACAGCTTCCCTTGTGGCCACTCTGGCCACACCCCTGCCAAGTCCAATGCTCCCATTCTCCTGCAGACTTTAAAGCTATAGGCAGAAGGGAAAGGGCTTGTTGCACAACATGAGCCCTGCTAGTCTCGTGCCACATAACAGCCTATCTTTAAGCCACCTCCAACCCCACCACTCCTTCTGAGCTCCCAACGGATGCCAGCACTCCTGCAACCACCCCAGAAGGCCCTGGCCAGGGGCAAAAGAAGATAGCAGCCTGGACTGGTGCAGAGATCCTGGATCGCATCAAGATCTGGGGTGAGGAGACAAATCTCCAGAATCTCCACACATCTCCACACCGCAATGTGTATGTGACCCAGAGGGGGCACAGTCACACCTTGGATCAGGTGCAGATGAAAATTAAAGAACTGCAGCAGTCCTGCATGAAGGTCAGGGAGCAAAGTTCCCATTCTGGGGTGGCACCACAGACCTGCTGCTACTATGAGCAGATGGATGCCATCCTGGGAGGGGGCCCAGTGATCCCCCCTTGTCATTGGCCAGGAAACACCCAGCATCAGCCTCCACAAAGGCAGGGTTGTGGAGCAGGAGGAGTAGGAGGGGCTGGCCAGCCTGGACACCATGCCTGCAACCAGGAGGCTGTCATTAGCCGAGAGCCAGTCCACTCCCCACCCCCTAGCATGTCTCTCAGGGTTCGAATGAACCCAGAGAAGGCAGTTCACGTGAGTTCTATCACTTTCCCTATACACACACGGGGGCAGGCAATGGGCTGCAAGGTGCTGTGTGCTCCTTGCTCAGCTTTCTCAGCCTGGGAGGTCGCACAACAGTCTGTGTACATGGGGGCATATGGAGCACAAGTCTGGCACATTCAGCTCCACGATGCTTTCACAGAGGAACCCTTGATCCTTCTCACAAGGTTCCTGCACAGGCCTGCCTTACTCCAGCCTCCATGATGGACACCTTCTCATGACAAGATACCACTAAGGAGGATGGGGGCTTGGAAACAAGCAATTCCACACATGCAAACAGTCATGCCTGCACTCCCAGAGCAGCATCCACTCCTGATCAAGTATGGTGAGACAGAGGACACTGAGCCCCTGCGTGGAAACCTGTCGGGGAAAAGGAAGTGGAGGGGACCCTAGCAGCACCCTCCGTGGCAAGTGGTGTCTGCCGCAGACACACACCTCCGCCATCACCCTCCCCCTTCTCCTCCAGAGGGCAAGGATACAAGTCCTCTCTCTGTGGGATGTCACCACTGCCAGACCCGGCATGTGCACAGCACAGAGGGAAAGCGAACTTCACCATTTCCTCCTCCCACCCATAGGCTCCTGGCCTGGCTGACACCTTACCACGTCTGCTTGTCCCTGGCACGTGGGGGTAATGAGGCTCCTCTGGAACACCTGTGCCCCTGCAAGACAGTGCCCACTGTCTAGGCCACAGATGGCCTTGCTTGAAGCACATCTCTGTCATCTGAACCGAGACCACTGGTGTCAGCTCAGGGATTAGGGCTAGGCTTCATGCACAATGCCTCCTGGGATGGCTGCCCTTGTCACTTTTCTTCACAGTTGGGCCAGCTGCAAGCACGGAGTCTCCACCACCTCCCATGCCATCTTCCTGACTCCGGGAAATCCACAAGCGGATGCAAAACCACAAGGACCTGTTGCAGGAACATCTTAACTGGAACATTCGTCAGCTGGAACTTCAGTGAGGACCTCCAGGAGCACTGAGAGGTCTCTAAGGGCATGTCTACACTGGGAAGTTATTTTGAAATAACTCTCTTTATTTCAAAATAACAAGGTGAGCATCCACACAGCAAGCCCACTATTTTGAAATTACAGGCTCCCACTTGTCATAAGGAATAACTCTTATTTCAAAATTGTTATTTCGAAATAGCATTAGTATGGATGCTCAGCTGCTGTTATGTCAAAATAATTGGCCTCCAGATGCCTCCCACAGCTTCCCTTGTGGCCACTCTGGCCACACCCATCCCCACCCCCACCCTTCTGGCTTCTCCTCCTAGCCTCCCTGCCCCCCCTCTCCAGGGACCATCAAGGCCTGCAAACATGTGGCAATGTGACCTCCCAGGCAGCTGA